CAGAGTGCGTGCTGGAATCGCCCGTGTAGCCGGTGTTGCTGCTGCTCGAGAGGTGCAGACGCAAGCCCTCCGCCTCTGTCGCCACCGTCGGAGGAGCCGGAGGCTGGTACTCGCCGACCGCCCGCGCGTACGCCACCGCTGCCTCCACCGCCGTGGCGAAGTTGCCCAAGTAGACCATCCTTTCGCCCGCCCTGTGCTGCGCCTGGTAGCGGCTCCTGTCCGCGCGCACGCCCTTGTACCCGGTACTGCTGCTGCTGGAGAGGTGCAGACGCAGCCCCTCCGCCTCTGTCGCTAGCGGCGCGGCGAGTGCAGCCTCCCTGTGCGTCGGAGGCGGCGGAGGCGGAGGGGATGCGTCTGAGCCTGTTGAGCAGGAGTAAGACTGGGTATACGGGGGTGTTTCTGCCTGCGTGTCGTCAGCGGGGTCTGGAGTGGGTGCTGGCCATGCTGGCCCTCGCGGGTTCCTCGTCTCCGCCGGCCCCGCCACCCGCGCGTGTCCACCCGCCGCCTCCGCCGCCGCCCTGGCCCTGCCCGCACGGCTTGCGAAGCGCTGCAGCGCCTCGAGCAGCTCGTACTCCTCCTGTGCGAGCGGAGGCGAGGGGAGGGTGCGGCATGTCGGTGCCGAGGGCGGTGCAGCGACGAGGCGGTGCTGACGGCGATGAGGCTGGGTGTGCGCACCAGATCCTCTTCGTCCCCGTCCGCATGCCGGATGCGCCAAAGCGCGGGCTCGTCATCCGCGCCCGCCGGCAGATAGAGGCGCACAACGCCGTGGACGTAGCCGTGGCCCTTGAGGCGCCGCAGAACCCTAGCCCCAACGCGAGGCCCGTCGCTGAGCCAGTCCGACTCGACCGGAGAATGGCCGGCAGCCTCGGGCACAGCAGGCGTAAGCTCGGACAGGTTGATGCGGACGCTGCCGCCGCTGTGTGCCTGGGCAGCTGCAGGCGCTGCCGCACTGATTACGGCTCTGCTGCTGTTTCGGCTGCTCGGCCACGCCCAGCGGCAGACGTGTCCACGCTTTTTCGCGCCACAATAGGGGCAGAGCGACCTGTCTGGGTGCAGCCCGCTAGACTCGGCCTGGTAGCGAAAGGAAAACTTGGAGATGGGGAACATGGCATGCAGGTGCCAGGCAGATTTTGGCCGCCCTGCTGCGGCTCGCTTGCAAAGATTGAAACGCACAGGCGTGAGTTGTGCACAAAAAACCCTGCCGTTTCAGCAGTCCTCCTCCGGGAATGTACGTAAGAGCCACATACAGTGAAAATTCCTGCGAGTACTATCCGATATAACGTGTATATGAGAGAGTGCGTTGTGTTCTTGTGTTCGTGGTTTCTCTTTTTGGTGTACCTGTGCTAGTGCCAGTGCGCGCCAGTCCCGTGCCCAGTGTCGCGAGGAAGGTGCCCGCACTTGGAGCACTTGGAGTGCAGTCATTAGCCTCCCAGGGCGGGCCGAAAAATTGTCTTTTTTTGCGAGTGCTATCGCTTTCGCAATGCCTGTAGCCCGCGCTCGCCTCCTAGCGCTCTCGCCTCCCGCCGAGCTGCGGCCGGCGCACACGCTACTCAACGGCCAGTGCTTTGGCTGGCGGCCGCACGAGCACCGCGTCGACGAGTATGTCGGGGTTCTCGGCCGGCGCGTCGTCTCGATCCGGCAGACCACGAGCGGCACCGAGTTTGCGGCGATGCACGGGCGGCCCGAGGGGCTCGAGGAGGAGCTGATCGACTACTTCCAGCTTCGAACGCCCCTCTCCTCGCTCTACGCGCAGTGGGCCAGCGCCGGCTGCCGGCGGATGGAGGCGATCTCCCGCTCGCTGCCCGGGCTGCGGATCCTGCGGCAGGAGCCGTGCGAGTGCCTCTTCTCCTTCATCTGCTCGAGCAACAACAACGTGCCTCGCATCACGCTCATCCTCGACCGGATGCGCGAGCGGTACGGCGAGCGGCTCTGCGCCAAGGCGGCGCTCGACAGCGAGGCGATGGCGGAGGCGGAGGCGGAGGCAGAGGCAGAGGCGGCAGAGCCGGCAGAGCTCGCCACCGGCGCACCCGCGCGCAACAAGCTGATGCCGCGGATGGACATCTCCGCCCACTGGCACGCCTTCCCGCCCGTCGAGGTGCTCGCGGCGGCACCCGAGTCCGAGCTGAGAGAGCTCGGCCTCGGC